CACTACTGTAGACTTTTATAGTGATGAGGCATTTTAAAAGCAAGCCAGGAACAAGCAACCCTAGCTGTTAGCATATAATGAAGGCCAGCTTCACTTCAGATGAAGGGATTAGAATTGAATTCATGAAGACACATACGCAGCATAGCTATCAATAAGACTTGACTTTGGTTATTAATTTGGTGGGGCATGTTGTGTATGTAGCCAGGCTAAATTGATTATTTTAGGTTTCAGATACGTTCATCATAAATTGTGATGTGTGTTTCTGTCATGCTTTAATGGAGTTTTTGCTGAACTATATCAAGGGAGAAATCGCCCTTTGTGAACACACAAATGTATTCCAGCTTGCTCCTAAGCATTTCAGTTAAACTTCTAGATACCATATTTGTCACTAGTATAAGATGTTGGGTTTATTTTAAATGCTTGATGTTGGCCTCACACTGATCTCTGACTGGGTGAGTCCATGCTGCCAACTTTTGAAAAGCCCTCTTGCCCATTTTCTCTCTGGTTAGAAAACTCCTGTCCCCCACAGCTCTAAATGCCCACCACTTGGTATTTCCAGCATGCATGTGCCTCCTTTTCCAGGTCCCCCCATTAAAGTTGTTGCTGTTTTGGACTTTCAGGTAAAAGCCGGTTCTGTGAAACAGGAGTTTGAAAAGCAGGATGAGCTGAAACGTTCAGCAATGAGAGCAGTTGCTGCTTTGCTAACCATCCCTGAAGTGGAGAAAAGTCCAGTGATGGCTGAATTTTCTTCTCAAATCAGAGCCAATCCTGAAATGGCTTCGCTCTTCGAGAGTATTCAGAAGGATTCTGCTTCGTTGTCCACCACAGAATCCATGGAGATGAGTTAAAGTTCACCCTGTCTTTCCATCTCCCCATCCCCATCACCCTCCTGTCCCCATAATGCATTGCGGAAATGGATTTCTTGTAGGCAGGCTAAGAAAGAATGTCTTGGAGCTGGGCTCAACTGCAGGAGCCATATAAACCAAACACAAATTGGCTGCGTAGTTCCAGCTGCCCAAATGCAGGCGTCTGCTTCCTCTTGCTGAATTCTAATCTTGCAGATGTGGCTAAGGTAAAAAGCCGTTGCTAGGAGGGAGTGAAATACAGTGCATTAAATTCTTCAGCAAGTTGTTAGATGGGAGGAATGAGACCATTTAAATTTGTTTTAGTATGGTGCTGCAAAATGGAACCCTCCTCCCAGAATGATTCCCCACCACAGCGCCTTGTTTGGAATAGTAGCATGAGGGGGAAAAAGCTTCAAGGTGACTTAGTTCTCATTTTTACCATTGCACATGCACTTTGCACCCCAATTGCCCTGTCAACAGAAGGAATTTCTTTATCTTTTCACTAGACAACAGTGGCCAAGAAGCTTAGTCTTGTGACAGAACTGGCCACCAGTTAAGTTTCACTGTCTCCTGGTGTCAAAATTGCTAGGTCTAAAAAGAGTCTTCACCCTAAGGTGTTAGCTAAATGAATTGTCTGCTATAAGCTGCACACGCTATTTATTACTTACAATTTCTTGACTTTCCCTGTAGGTCAATGCATAAAGCAAGAGAACTGATCCTTAGTTACCTTTGTGGAGGCAGGTGGATAACAAGGCTTTTCCCCCCTTGATTTCACTATCAAGGAGTTTGGCTGCACAAAGTGTCTCTGAAATCAACTGTCTTCCAAAATGGAATGTCACCTGCTAATTACATTTTAACCTTCCAGAGTCGTCTTTATCTTTAATCTGTATGTGCAACAGCCTCTTTCCCTTGTTTAAATTGCCAGCAGTGTTCTTCTGGGTGACCATTGGATACCAAAGCACTGATGTATTCCAAATTTGTCATCTTAGAAGTAAAATACAGCATGTTGCTGTCAGACACCTGCATTCAGTACTCTCCTATTTTTGCTAGATATTTTGTATTGGGCCACTAAATGAGAACTTGCAGGAACGTAAGTGCTTTTCAGAAGACTAGAACCTTTGCACATCACTTAACGTTATTTTAATGGTTTTGCTCAAATCCTACCCTGCCCTAAGAAGTGATGGATGCAGGGAAAGTTCTTTAACAATAAGCGATGGATAGAGTAATAGTAAACTACAGAATGAAGCCACCATGACACCTCTTGTAGCCATGGATTTGTACTAAGCTTTCAGTTCAGGGCTTTTCTCCTTGTTTTTGATAAGAGTGGTTGGTGTGAAACATTTGAGCTGGTCTATTTATAGTGTGGAGTGTGAGAATTTCCATGCTGTATGAGTGGCATCCAAAGAAAATAAAGAGAGATGATGAAGCTGTTACCTATCTGCTACAGAACTTATGTGGGGGTAAAATAACCATTATTTATTATTACTTCTGGATTGCACATTGATCCCAATGTTCTTTCCCCACCATCTCCCCTTCAAATATTGAGGGGAAAAAACAACACACTTCAGAAGACCCTCCAAGAAGGCAATACAAAACAAGGTAGGCTATCTCTGCATGTAGAAGGACTGAAAGCAGCACATGTAATATGTGGTCTGGTGGTATAGTACTTTTTTTGGAGTTTCATGTCCAGTTCCCTCTACCTAGCAGCAGGGTGGGGGTAGAAGTGGTAAGGGCATATCTTAAGTTGAATTTAAGCTTAGAAAGCTTGATTCCATGTAGTATGCTTTGCAAGAGGACAGGCTCTAGTAGAGGAAGAGGCGTTACCACCACTGCATGTGCTAGCCTTAGCAAGCATCAGGTAGTGCTACAGCAGGCAGTCACCTCCATAACAATGGATTAGCTGGTTCAAAGAAGGTGTATTTACAAGCCCATTTTCTTAGTGCAGTTAAAATAACTCCAAGACCTGCTCAGCTTCAAAACATAGGATCACAAAGGGGGAGGAGGGTACCTTCCCCTCCCCTGCAATCTAGTGTGACCTTGAGGTAGACAGTCACTTATAGTTTTTGCTACACAGTCTCATTTTCCAGGATGTTATAGAAAGGAGTGTCAACATTCTAGTTTGAGTAGTATAGAGACATTCAACCACCCCACACCACACTGGTTGGGTATTTTCACATTTTATTAATACAGCTGCATTAAACAGAGGAGCCAACTCATTCGTTTTCCTCACTGCGCAGTCTGGCATTTGGATTGGTGATCTTGATTGCAAGCTGTGCTGCTCTCTCCACAATTACCTTGCGGTTCTTAGAGGAAACGTTATGAGCAATCTCTGCACAGTATGACCTGCACAATAACAAAAGTTAATCTAGCATCACAAATGCCCATCTACACAATAACTAATATCTTAATAGCAGACAGCAAAGCCAATTCAAGCCTTAGGTAACAAGAATGTTCTTGTAGGTAGCAACAGCCAGTTGAGAACTAGTGGTTCTCAACCTTTTTCCTACTGGGACCCATTTGCAAAGGTTCGTGGCTTGCCCTGATCCACATCCCTGGCCCCGCTGGTGCCCTCACTCCCAAGCTATAGCCCTGCTGGGGGAGCACCCAGGTGCCCCAGTCCCATTTGAGCCAGAGTACACTGACTGCAGCAGCTCCACTCATGCAGGCAGCAATGGAGTGAGCTGGAGGGGAGGCCTGTAGCAGCCCCTGCCCTAGGATGGTACTACCATAACATGCCCTGCCAGGCAGCCTGGTCACAGCCTATTCTGGCTCCTGAGCAGCGTCTCTCGGCCACTGCAAACACCCAGCCTGGCCTCATCTTTCTCATGCACCCTGCCCCCTGCCATGGTCTCAGCACTTTTCCAGGATCAACATTTCACAACCTGCACCTTGCAACCCTCTGAAATCTTGCAACCCACTTTTTCCCCCAGAACACCCACCAACACAGGCTAGTGCTGGGCTAAGCAAGCACAACTCTAGTACAGACTGCTGAGTTGTATCCATTTACATCAGTGGTGACTTAAGCCAGGAGTCTGTCCTCCTCTAGACAGTTCCAGTTCAGCAAATTTATTTTCTGCTCACGAATCACTATAGTGGTACATGCAGAAGTGTGGATCAAAACATCCTGTATTGCTGGAATTATCTGGTCTATTTAAGAGGTTAAGAAGTTATTATTTAACAAGTTCTATGAGACTTGTAAAATCTACTGGAAATAGGTTGTGTATATTAGTGCCTCTACTGCTTTTGCGTTTTTAATTAAAGAAAAAGCACACTTCCAAAAGGAAACTATAGTTACTGTTCTTTAGCTTCTCACTAGGACTAGGCAGTCAAGGTGACCACATTAAAATTGATCTCTAGCACTATTCTCTCTCAAAACACAGTTTGTAGGCAACACTGAAGTGAAATTCAGCCCATTGTAAAAATCACACCCTGGATTCAGATGTTACCCAACACTCCACCATCGTGAATTACTTCATTAATACCCATCTTCAAAACCTGATAAAAACAGAGCTCTTTAAATACAATCTCTATTTTTTTCTGCAGAGGACCATGCACGCTGACTAGAACTATTTAAAGTACTTAAGACAGCTCAACAGGAAGCAAGTCAGGGTGATCCAACCAAGTTCTGCTGCTTTCAGGCCACCTATCTGTCAAAGTCAATCCACCAAAGACGACCTCATCCCCTTTAACTAGCCACCATTTTTCTATCTTAACACTGAAGGCTTCCCTAGTCATTATTTTGCCTGCTTCCAAGAACTATGGGTGTAAGTTGACAGAAGTCATGCTTCAGTTGTGGTCGGAGAGTAGCTTGGAGTGGATATGATAGCAGGAGGGAACTGACTGCCTGCTCCTCAGCAGTCTGAGGCATTAGGGACCAGGGTTTAGTACTCTTCAAGGCCAGTCTCCTGCTTTCTGCTCCAGGTTAAATGCTAAGGGGGCAAGGAGGTCGAGCATACTTGGACAAGTACACTTGGCTCTAGGGGCCTTGCTGCTGAAGTTTCCTGCATTTATAGCATGGTAGTGCCCCAGGGCTGCCACTCCTGGGTAGGCTCTAAACACTGTATAATGACAGGCTACTTCCCTGGAGTCAAGTGCAGCACAGGGAGGTAAAAGCAGGGCCCAGCTTGTGTAAAAAGGCAGGGGAGTGGCTCCCTCTCTCCAGCATTTACTCAGCTGCTGCTAGATCTTGGTCATTTCACTGTACTCCTCCCCCCCCATTACCAACTTACCTCTGGCCCCAACCTCCAGGTCTGACCACTGCCACAGACCAAACAGCACAGGCGCATCTAGGCAACCAGCCACCCACCCCTCTTAACAGGGCCAAAAGCCTGTCTTCACTTACTTGTTACTCATCATAAGCACTTCGAGCTCCTTGACATTGTGGACCAGGAACTTCCTGAACCCAGTGGGCAGCATGTGCTTTGTCTTCTTATTGCTACCATAACCAATGTTGGGCATCAAGATCTGGCCCTTGAATCTCCTGCGGACTCTGTTGTCGATACCTCTTGGCTTACGCCAATTGCGCTGGGAATGATGCGAAAACAATGTTTTGACTCAACAGCATGCCCAATGTAACAGCCTGGCTTTAACTGCACATCAAGCAAACTTGATTCTTTGCAGAGCCAAGCCATCCCCCGTTCCCCCCGTGCGATTCTTAATTGCCCCTTCACACACGGTGTTTTCTGGGCTTTAACTCAGCATCCAACAGCTCCCTGGGCAAGCTCTGCCAGGACTGAACCAACTCTTGGGGGAGACGGGCCTACCTTGATCTTGACATAGCGGTCGGACTGGTGGCGGATGAACTTCTTGGTTCTCTTCTTGACGATCTTGGGCTTCACCAGCGGCCGGAGGGCAGGCATAGTGTCTGTGGGGGTGGCCAGAGGGATGAGGCAGTGGCAGAGACTTCCCCGCCTGCACCCCCAATCTTTGCCCTAGCCCAGCCTCTGCACGGCCCAGTGTCCTGCAACCTCCCCATTAGCAGCTGCAGCCCTGCTGCTAAGGGGGCCCCCAAATAGCCCGTGCTAATAGTGCTAATGGCCCGGGCTCCGCAGGGCCTGAATCCCGCAGCCCCCACACTTAGCACCAGGGCGCATGCGCTGTAGGGCAGCCGAGAGCTACCGGGCCCGGCCCGTGGCTCCGCTGCGGGCAATACCGGGCGGCAGCAGCGGGGGTGCCGCCCGCAGCGCGGGGGAGGCGCCGGCAGCGGGCTGCGGGCGGCCCCGGCACAGGATGGCGGCGGATCGTACTTACCGGCTGGAGCGCTGCACCTACCGCGGCAGGCAGCGCGGAGAGAGGGAGGGGGCGGCCCGCGGGGGGGGATGGGAACTCTGCCGCGGGTCCCGGCAGGTCAGTGCAGCCACGGGACGCATGCAGCGGAAGGGGGGAGTGTGGGCAGCCGCGCGGTCCCCAGGTAACAGGGGACCTACGCGCAGCTTCAAGGCGGTTTGCTGCAGGGGTGGTGTCGTCCACGGCCACACGTGGGTTTCCCCCCACCTACAATATCAGCAGGTAAGTTATACCAAGCTGCCAGGACCCAGCCTCCAAGCACGGACGGCCATTTTTGCGCAGGCGCAGGAGGGCGGCGGAAGCTGTTCCGCCAGTATTGCTGCCAGTACCTGAAGCTCCTACTGGCACGGTCCGGGTAGTGCGGCATGGAGCCGGCTGGGTGCGCTGTTCCCCTCCTGCGCCCCGGACAGGAGGGGTTGGTAAGCTAAAGGGTGTTTGACGTAATTGTTTTAACAGTGACGTGATATAAACGTCACTCTTGACATAATCAATACCATGTGCTGTACTGGCTTCAGTCCCTAGCTAATGATCTGCCATGCCTGAGGCTTGGGCCCCTGCCCCCATGACATCTATTGTGCAATTGACTGGTGACTCGCACAAAATGGTGCAAAGTAATGATCCTCCTGCCATAAAATGGTCACCCAGCTATAAAAAGAGCCAGCCGCTACAGAGTTAGTGCTTGAAAATGTGTAACAACTTTATAGCTTGTTTCTGTCCAGCTTTAATTTGAACACGTGGCAGGACCCTTGGAGAGAGGAACAAAATTTGATAAATTTCATCTAATGCAATTTTCAACTTGGGTTGACTCGTCAGAATATCATTTTATATTCTTCACTTGTGTGAATGATGGTCTTCTGAGATCAACTTGAGGACTAGAGGTTGCTGGTAAGTGCTTGGTGTTTGCCCTAACCATAATGTACGATGCCTGGACTAAAATACAGTAAGTGGAGCCCAAGCATCTGGCAAGATTTACAGCAAAAAGGCTGCTGAGTCCAGTTCTCATGATTGCTTTACATTTCTTCAATACTGAGGTAAAAGAAAAAAAAGACCAGACTTTTGTTAATCCTTTCCCAGTTGCTCAGAGAAGATGCTACTTATTCATGCCCCACAAATATGTCCCATTCCTTACCTGTGTGGCAACAGAATACGTTGGTACAAAAAGGAACAAAGCTATCTAAGATCAACAACATTTCCTGTGACATCACAAATAATTCCTTTTTTTGAAAGAGAGCATTCCCATTCTTGAGCTGAGGCTGATCTTTACTCAAATGATATGCATCTTTGCACACCTTTCAAAATACCTTTGTTTGAACGTGAGCTGGTTCTTTTCAAACCGCAGGCACTCAGCGTATCTCCGCCTCGCTCCTCAGGTGTACAGATGGAGTAAGTGCTTGGTTCAAAAACAGGCTAATTTGGGACATGAACCCTGTCATTCCCCACCTAACAGCATTCCAGTGCCTGCCACCAGGCTCAGCTCCCCAGGAGAGTATTTCTGCAAGGTACCTCTCTGAAGTCATCCAGGCCACTGCTTGCAAGAGCATTTCAAACTCCCCGCTTCAAAACTCTGATAGTTCTTCAGCCCCATCCCAAACTGAAAGTGAAAACATACAGTTAACAGCAGCCTGTCAGCATTGGAGCTGTGCACTCTTATTTGTCCCGTAGGTGCCATGCAATGATTTAACAGTTCTGGTCATCCAAAAGACAGTAGGCAAGGTCTCTACATCCAGAACATCCAACAGTCTGGGGTCCACTACAGCAGCAGAACAACTCCAGCCCTAAGCGTGAAAGTGAAAACAACTGTCCTGATTAACCTAAACTTTTTAGGAGCTATAAGGTGAGGTACCTTCTCAGGGCACTGGGCCCCAGATCATCCTATACTGTTCTATAGATTGCTACTAGTTCAGGGATTACAAATACAGGCATGATGTTCCTCTCCCCTCTCCACAAGTCAAAGCTTTACAGCTAACCAAGCTTAAAATTGTGCTTGAAGTTCAGCACGTGACCGATTCGGCCTTACATTTACAGGTTCTCACCTCACATTTACAAACTCCTCTTCAGTGGTTTCAGATGGAGATGGTTAACACTGAACTAAAAGCTGTCCTTTGGCAAAGTAGAGCTACAGGGAAATTTCAAAGCTACAAAATGTTTGGCATGACAGTATTTGTTTAAACAAATGGATTCAGATTTTCCTCTATTTCTTCACCTTTTGTGCCAGTGGAAAAAAGGAGGGGAGATAAAACACAATGCAAGACAAAACAGAACAATCCAACACTCTCCTCTTTTACTTCCTCTTGAAAGAAAGTGTGGAAACATCTAGGGAATGGAAAATCCCACTGCTTCATTTTTTCCATGTATAAGTATGAAAAAATCTGAAGTGTTAAGTGCTTGACACGATAGAGATATTCCTTCCCCCCTGCCTACACAATCCAAAGCATCCAAACAGCCTGATTTAAAAATCCCTTCCTATTTCAATGGCTTATGTCTTAAGATCATGTGTCAGTCACCCTAATTCACCAGCACAAACCTGGATGATGGAACTTCATTTCTGATGCAGAGAAACATCAGAGCTGTGGGGAAAATGAAGTTGGTATTGCCAGCTAGGAAAAAGTTTGCCAAGGAAGGAAGTCCTGTATCATTGTGTCAAGCACTTAACACTTCAGTTTTTTCAAGGTTACATATGCAAAAATTGAAGCAGTGGGATTCCCCCAACTTTTCCATTCCCTAGATGTTTCCAAACTTTCTTCCAAGATGAAGTAAAAGAGGAGAGTGGGTTTTTTTTGCATTGTGTTTAGTTTCACCTCCTTTGTTCCACTGAAACAAAAGGTGAAGAAGTAGAGGGAAATTTGAATCCATTTGTTTAAACAAATATTGTAATACCAAACATTTTCTAGCTTTGAAATTTCTCTGTAGCTCTATTTTGCCAAATGACAGCTTTTAGTTCAAATCCCAGAGGCAGCTGGAAGCAGGAAGAGGGAATGATGAGCAACTGTGCAGAGTCTTGTTGTGATTCTGGGCTGCAAATCCCAGAGATCTTGGGGGTGCATGAAGAGGAAGCGAATACACAACCCATGCTGACTATGTGCCAGAGAGCCATGCTCTAGCACCCCCCACAAGCTCCTGGCTTGAGCCACTGCAGGCATGTGGGCTGCATTTCCCGAATCAAAAGTGAATGTCCATTCATCTGCTTATTGGTTCAATCTTTGCAGCTTAGACTAACCTACGAAGACAGAATCAATTCAGCCTTGGGTTTTTTGACTATCTGTACTTAACCCAAAGGAACGTAATGGCTGTAGGGACATAACAAGGATTTTGCCCAGAGTTCCAGACAAGTTATTCCTTACTTTAATACAATGCAAGGCTTTTATTATAGGCAAAAATTATATTTTTTTTCTATTTTCCTCCTTTGTTGTCTTCACTGCTCTGGGTACCTGTCTTCAGTCAGAGTTCTGTCTGGTGCCTCCACCTCTTCTGTAGCTCAGGGGCTGTTCTCTGAATAGCTGACCTACTCACCCTGCTCCAGGTAGGCTTGTATGACCATGGCTGGCCCCACCTGTTAAAAAAGGATGCTTCTCCTGCCCCCCATTTCCCACCAGATTCAAAGAGTGTGTCAGAATCTGTAATCCTAGAAATAGACAGTGCTAAATCTGGTTGAATTCTTGGATGCTGGGTAGTGACCCAGGTGGTCACTTCCAGTTTTATGCCTCTCTATTCCTGTGATCAATGGTTTCCTGTACCATTGAGTTCCACAGCTTAACTGCATCTTGTGTGAAAAAGAAATATTTCTTTTATTGAAGGGTTTTGTCTTTTTCACTTTTAAACAACAATGAATTTCCACTTGCAAGCCTTGGAGAGCAGAAGTTCCCAATCTACCTTCCTCAGGTCATATTCTTATGTCCCTCCTTTTTCCTCTCTTCTCTTAAGATAAACACCCTGGTCTTCCTGTAGTCCATAGGAGAACTGTTCAGGAAGAGATCATGAAGCTTTTTTTGCCACAAGGCTGTGAAGTGCTGGTTTCTGTTTCAGATTAGCTTTGAAGTCCTGGCTCCCCAGAGGCATTTCATTCTTTGTTCTCTTGCCCAAATTCTGACTCCGCTCAGCTGGCTGTAGCTGTATCATCAGCACCCGTCTCTGCGCGTGCTACCTCCACTGTGGTTCCTAATCCCTTTTCTGGCTGAGCTGGGAGTCCACAGGAGAACTGTCCCAGGCTTTCACCCCTTCTCTGTTCTTCCCTGAACCAATGTCCAATCTGGTAAACATGGAAGACTAAACAACCTCCCACCCCCATACAACATGGCTGAAAATCCCCACTATAGCCTGAGGTCTTTAACAAGGGAAATTTTAAAAAGGTGGAAAAACCCACTTAGTAAAACAACAGAAGGAAAACATTTTCTACAATAGGCCACATATACACTTAACTTCTCTATTTCGTTACTGAGCTATGCCAGTTCAGGTACTGATTGAAAAGTATTCTTCGGAGAATTCAAGCCACAATCATTTCACCAGCATTAATGAACGGAATATTCTCAACGTCTGGATCTTGTTTCAGAGAGCTGCTATCTAATCCCCCGGGAAAGCTAATCCAGCAACAGATCTATGCATTGTATTCCACTTTTTGTTGATTTGGTTATGACCTAAGCAGAGCAAGTTTCCAAGGAATTGCAAATACGTATTGGGTTGTATTTCAAGGGGCACTTTAAAACAAAACAAATATTCCAATGATAGAAAAACTCCCCACACTGCCATTTGGTGAACCAAATCTAGGCAAGCAACCTTTCAGGCTGGTTCCAGCCTCACCACCTTCTCTCTTGTATACTTTCTCTCTCCTGTCCCATCTTCAGTTCTGTCATTTTTCCACTTGTGGAAGAAAGGTAAGTGAAATGGGTAAGCAAAAACATTCTAAATAAAAAATAACAACCTCACTTTTAAGGGGGATTCTCTCTATTCATATCTTTAATATCAATCTTTTACATTTTCCAGGCAGTTCAATGCCTAATTCAAATCAGGGGAAACTGGAGGAGCTGTATCCAGATTCTGCAATCAAGTGATGCTGCAAAGTCTTTAACTTCTCCTCTTTGTTAAGTTCCCAGGTTTGGTTCAGCGCATGCCCAAGGCGATCATGTTTCTCAGAAGTGCTCTGCTGGGAATTTTTCTTTTCTGCATTCTCTGGACAGAAACTACTTTGGCTGGCTCCAGTTTTTTAAGCCCTGAATACCCAAGGACACAGGTAAAATTAAGAATATTCTTCTCTTGTTAATCCAAACCACTTTCCCTTAGAATTACCACTTGAAACCAAATGACTTTATGTTAAAGCAATACTCAGAAAAAACATCAATCTGCCTCAGCATCACAGGGGATAAGGCCTTTGAGATTTATCGCAAATGAGCATGAACCATTAAGGCTATATCTGCACCTGGAAGATTGGGCCCCTGAAGTGTCTCCAGCGGTAATAAAGAACTAGAGGACTCTGATAATTTTCTCACTGTCTATCCCCATTCAAACCAAGAGAAAACAACGGGAGAGGAAAACGACTTCCTCTAGTGAAATAGTTTGTATGGCAAACTGTAGGCGTTCAATTTCCCAGCACACACCCAGGTCTAATTGTTTGTCTATGGAAAAAAACAATTTACACTGGGTTACTTTTCAGCAGCAAAAAGATGCTAAGAAGCTTACCACCAAATTACACCGCCGGGGCACAGAAGGAGTTTTGGATACAGATGAAAAACAGGCAAAGGGAGACAGCAATGAAATCGAAGTTAAGGTCTGTATTTTGCAATGGATTCAATGAGGCTGGGCGGGTGGGGTGGAATTGTGGCTTTTTTTTGTTTTATATCATCACACAGTACAAAATGCAGTAGAAATTTGTCACAAAAGGTAACATATATTCATAGCCAGTTTGAGCAGTTAAAACGAGCACTCAGGACTAAATTGTTGATAATCTTAAAATCTGAAGAGGCTGAGAAATATTGCAAAAAATACAACTGCAACCTGCTACTAACTTAATACCAACATTTATTTTCACTGTAGAATTCCTAATATTTTACTGTAGAATTGTTTTCTTTCAGTAATCTCATACTTTGTTGCAGCATTTGCCCATAGCAGCTGTCCGCAGAAATCCCTGTTCCTCAGGTATTGAGTAATAATTATTTCAGGACAAGTTGATGTTTGGAGAAGACAAACCTTCAGACATTTCAATTACTGTACTTTTTTTGAAGTTAGCATGCAATCTGCGTGCACTCAAGAGCAGAAAGAATTTGAAGCCTCTTTAAAAGGTACAGTTAAGCCATTCTTTTAATTTGGTGTTTTCGTTTTAGTTCAATGTCCCCTTTGAAATTGGTGTCAAGATAACAGCAGGACAGTACCAAGAGTACGGACAAGAGCTCGAAAGGATCTTAGAGGACATTCTTACAGGGGACCCTAAAGGTACTTTCTGCACCATCAGAGAAAGATAAGATTGCCAGGCAAGCTTGCCAAAAGGCTCTTACCTATTGTGGGATACTAAATCTGTACACCAGGGATCAGCAGCCCCTGGCACACGTCAGAGCGTGGCATGTGAGGTCATTTTGCTTGGCACGCCACTACCCACCCGGACTCCAGACAGCTGCTGCCAGCCACGCAGCCTGGGCTGCTCCCAATAGGTAGCTGGGAGGCTACAAGCCCTGCTGCAAGCAGCCTCACTCCATGGCTGGCAGCAGATACCCAGTCTGGGCTGGTTGCAGGGGCAGCACCAGCGTCTTCCTGGCGGAGGGGTTATGCTGCTGGTGGGAGTGGGGTGGGCTCAGCTGTGCAGGGCAGGTGGTGGTGGCCCAGGCAGTGCTTTGAGTGGTGGGCTGTGTGGCCCAGGCAGTGCTGGGAGGGGTGGGGGGTGGCAGCCCAAGTGGTACTAGAGGGGTGGCTATGGGGTGGGGGGCCTAAGGCAAATTTGGAGGCGCACGTGCAGTCACTGCCAACACAGAGCTGGAGCCATGGCTTCGGAGTGCTGGCATCAGCTCTGCTGTTGGCAACTACATGTGCACCTCGAGGCACAAGTTGGGGAAGGGGCCTGAGGCAGCACACGCATGCATGCCTGCCTCCGCATGGATGGCAGTGGAGGGGCCAGGGTTGCACTGCCCCAGCCCCACCACCATGCTCCACACCTCCAAGAGAATGGGGAGGGACCTGGGGTTGTGCTGCTTTGGGCCTCTCCGCTGCCACGAGGGGTGTGTGTAGCCACCACTAGGGCTCTGGAGTCCGGGGCACAGGGGCACTGCTGGGAAGGGCTTGGGGGCATATAGCCACCCTGGAATTCACCATAGGGCCTCCCCCCTGCCCTGCACCACCAGGGCCACTGCCACCCACCCTGCCCCACTCCCACCCAGGTGGTTAGTGCTTTTCTCGTCTCTATTTTTCCTCTCTCCTCGTCTTCTATTTCTTCTCTTTTTTCTCTCCTTTCTCTTTCCCTCCCTCTTTTTCTCTTCTTTCTCTCTCTCATCACAACATGCTTAACAAAAAATATACACAACAAAGGTAGTATATGAAATTTTATTCATTGTCACCAGGTTTGGAATTTTTAGAAAACCTGGTATTTACTGTAAAAAGCAAAAAAAAAAAAAAAGCAACATTTGTAATCATTAACTATATTAATATGCAGCGTGTCCTGCCATGTACCTCCCGCCCCGGCTTTGTTTTTCTGGCATGCTGGCACTCTGGCCGCTTACAAGATAGACATTGCAGTTTTTTTGGCACTGGCCAAAACATTGCCTACCTCTGCTTTACACTATGATTTCACTATAGCCATTTTGGGTGTCCACTATGAAACCCTGTAAAAGAGCCTATTTTTCAGAAACTGAGTAAGGAGGCTTTAAGTAACCTGATGTTGGGGACCAAAATATGAAAGTACTTAAAAAAAATGAATCACAAGCCACTTTTGAAAGAAGTCAGTATTCCCATATGCCTTCAGCCAGTATCTTTTTTTTTTAAACGAGTAAAAGGCAAACAAAATAATTTTGGATGCAAAGGAGGCAAATTGGCTGACTACACCACCACATCAAGATCAGTCGTCTTATTTTTGTGTTTGAGACCCTTCATATTTCTGCCTTTCCCTGTTCATCCACTCGTCCTTATTGTGTTGGCTCTTCACCCCCTATTCTGCCGACAATGCCAGCTTTCATCACTCAGTTGTTTGTTCTCACTATAAATGTCTTTTCACTGTTTGCCAACACCTCCTATAAATGGATCTGAAAAGCTACTTTTACTGTCCTTCAAATCCCTTCTCAAGCCCTATATCTTCCAAGTCACATACATAAGTCTGCCACTATCACAGCAGCAAGCATACACAAACCCAAATCAGTGTCTTCCTCTCCTTCCTCTTCTGACAAGACTACATTGACAGAAGCCAGATCTTGGTTGGATTTCTGGGAATTACAATATAAAAACCAAAATAAATCTCTGCCCTTTGCCCTTTCAGAAGTCCAAGTGGAAAACTGACAGGAGTTGAAGGACACCAGCAGCACATGATGACTGTATTACAACAAAACTCTGCTTTCAAGTTGTGGACCTGAAAAATATTCTTTTAAAAAAACAGATGCCTGGGGCTGAATAATTTACATTTTTTAAATCATTTGGGTGAAAACGGATCTTTTTGGGAGGGAGGCAAGAGATTAAATAACTTGGTAAAGAAAACCAGCAGCCACCTGACTTCTAAGTTGTTTTTACTTTTATTTTTTTCTTGATTGTATCACACATGTTCTAGGATGTGTTTGGAAGTCATTTGAACCTTTTCTACAAAGGGAGGGAGGAGGCCTGTGTATGCTTCTGCAGCAGAAAATAAAAGTAGTATTGAAACTGCAGTAATTTTTTGCCAGTTCTAAGATTATGTGAAGAACTAGATGCAAGTTTCAGTCTCTGCTATACACATCAGCTTAATATGAGGAGCTGCACATAATAATCACCCTCAGTTAGCCTAGACACTTTACTCTGTTGTTGATGCATCTGTTTCAAAGGGCATCACACCCTCCCACACCTTTTTTGAAGTTAGTGAGAATCTAGCTGTCATTTTCATTAGAGACAAACTAGTGCCCTTAGTGGTTCTACAAAGAGAACATCAAATTGTATTTTCACAGTGTAAAAGGTATAAACTGTCCCTCTCTTGAATGCATCAGGCACATTCATGAGCGAGAGCTGCCCTAGGAGCAGGCAGTCCCCACTACTGAGATATACTCTCATGCAGTAGGGAGGATGGTTTCCCACTCAACTCTTTCCCCTCAGTTGGCTGACTTAAGAGAGACCATGTGCCTTTAACAATACTTTTAAAAGGAATACTTAAAAAAAACCCTATATATTCCAAAACCTTCATATAAACCAGGAAGCAAGTGCCTAATCGATGCTAACATCAGAATGGAAAATCTGTGAAGCAGAGGGGTGGAGTGGAACTTGCCTTCATACCATCATTTCAGGGTTCGGAAATGGGTTTGGAATTCCTGCCTGGAATGGAGGCTGAGCAAACAGGCAGAATCAATTTACACAAATGCATTTAGCTTATAGAGACCCATGCTAATGATTTTGCAGTCTCTTAGAAATGTTTATTTAACATTTTTAAATATTTAATTTTTTTTTAAAGTTGCAACTGTAGTTCCAAATATTATTAAAAAAGTTACTACCCCTTGTTAAAAAGTCTTCTGAATGCAAAGATATGAAATAGTTTAAAAAAAAAAAAAAAAAGAATTCTACAAATAAAACCTGGTTTGAGAACTGTATTTATCAAGGTTTTTGGCACTTCTTTCACAGAGGCACTTGTCTTCACAACAGTTTGATCGCAGCCCCACAGAACCACCTTTGGGATGGATTTCCACAAAACAAAATACAAGTCAGGTTAAAGAGGGTTGTTGTAATGTATAGCCAAGCTTCGTTTCTCCTGAAATTAAAACCCACCGCAGCCATAAAATTATGTTTAGGTGGATCAGCTCTAGCAGTCATAACATTTTGCTAAAAAAGGTTTAAAAGCTTATTTAGTACCTATAGCACATGCTCTTCATTATACCTTTCAAGGAAGGGTCCATACCTAAACAACACCAGCTTAACTGTGTACAGCGTTTTCATTGTGTTGTGCAAGGAACGGGGTACAGTTGTGCATCAAATTCTCTGCTTCAGTATGTTCTCTTTACTGCACAGTCTCAGCAGTTAGGTGGTTTTAGAGGCTATGGTTGATGCCCATTCACCCTTTGGGCTCTAGCTGTCCTTGAATCATTCAGGTCAAGAATGGTTCAGGGGTTACAAGCTATTTAACTCCTTTGAATGGACCAATACCTATAAAACTGGATAAAATTCCACATTTCCCAACACTAGTTCTCCTTGTCTTCACCTCAAGGAAAACTGATCTCACAGACACTGGCACCTTGTCTGGGGGTGTGATCCAAGGGGAGGTATGGCAGCAGGAAATTAAATGGAGATGTGAAGGGACATGGATAAATAGAAATGTGTAACTCTTATGAGGCAGGTGGATATGACAAGTCAGGAGGGGCTAACTGTCACCACTGGGATCACAGTCACAGGGTGTGATGTAAGTGTGCCTTCAGAGTTTCTCCCTGTTCAACAGCAGTCTTCCCAACCTAGGACTTCTCTACCTTAACTAGCGCCTTCCTAGACATCATAGAGACTCTTTGTGTTCTGCCTTAAATTAGCCAGGGTGAGGGAGAGTGGTAGGCCTTTCAGATGGGTGATCTCTCTCACGGTGTGCAAGGCGAGTCCTGGGTGAGAATACTGGCACATGCTTTTGGGAACCTGCAAAAACATTAAAGAAAGGGCAGAGTCAGGAACAGTGAATCGCTTCAACTCTGCAATACTCAAGACTAATCAGGAGTTACCTTCATGTTAAGCCTTTTATTTGGGCCTGGACACTTGTCAGAAAGTGTCTTTCCATAATGCTGTTTGATGCTTTGGTTCAGCTTTTTTCCCAGAGCACTTCATAAAAGCAGCTGCCAGCAAATAATCCACATAATAGCACAAGAGGCCAGAGAGGCTGGAATATATCCCCATCTTAAAAGGACAGCAGAGAAGACAGAACTTCCATTTTTAAAGTTCTGTCTGACAGACCAGTGCAAAATTCAGTACATCAACCATAGATGGACAATGGGCTGATTTGGTCCTGCTGGAATCTGCATCTAGGATGCAACAGTGTCTACAAATTCAAACCTGAGGGTTAGGTCCTATTTGTAAAGAGAAGCAGCTACCAGGCAAGAGAGGCTAAAATTTGCCTTCCCAGCCATACACTTTCTGGAAACCAGGGGCAAAATATAGGCCTACACATGCTTCTAGCTGCTTGTTTGTAGATGTCCTATCAGTCAGCCTCAACAGGACAGAAAGACCTGTAATCAACACTGGAGAGAAGAGTTACTGAGCATTTTATAGAAACATTCTTACCTGTCTTGGAAGGAAGTATGGAGCATCTGTTTCTACAATTATTCTGTTCAAAGGGATTTTCCTAACAGTCTCTCTTGCTTCAGCAGCAGATGAATAGGTCAGCAATGCAGTGAATCCCACCGAAAGATTTGGGAAATGCTTTAGCAATGGCTCTAAGACATTGTAACCGCCAGTAAAACAGTGCCTAAAGGTTAAGAAAGTGTCGGTTATTCTCCAAGGTAACAACGGTCAGTTCTGAAAAAAGGTGACAGAGGCCAAACAAGGAGATTATATAGTAAGGATCCAAAGAATCCTGTTTGTGTGTTTACGTATTTATTTTACAAATCCCATTTCAAGTCTCAGTGTCCCAGGGGAATGGATTCGCAGCTTATGCCAGCACCGTCCTGATGTTGTGGAAGCAGCCTCAGGCAGGCACTGGCATCAGCTATGAACATGGCCAGCAGTTTCCAGGTGGGGATTGGGATGTCCCCACCCCAACTGGGGCTGCAGCATGCCCAGTTCCCCACCCCACATCCACAACTTATGCCAGCACCCACCCAGCCCTTTGGAAGCAGCCCCTGGCAGGTGCCAGCATCAGCTGTGAACATGGCCAACGGGTTCCTGGTGGGGATCAGGGCATCTGCCCAGGTCCACAGCTAACACTACTGTATCAGTGTTGGGCAGAAGCAGTCCTGCCAGCCTGACTAGCACAACAGAAACAGCTATGCCCACCCAACACCATGCAGCAGCTGGAGCTACTGGCTGTCTATGGGCTGGATCCTGTGAATTTGTGGCCACCTGCCTGTGGGCCAGGTACAATCAGTTGGTGGAACGGATTCAGCCCACAGACTGTACTTTTCCAACCCCCCCGTCTAAAGGGAATAAATCACTCCTACATATCTTAATTTAAAAATTACTAAAATCAAAATGGATTAGAGAAAAAAATGTTTCCTCTCCTCACAGATTTTTTTTACTTTCACTCTGTTTTCAGTTTCCACCCCCCGCTCAAAGTCACATTCTTCTGTGTGAGGGAAAGAAAACCTATTAAAAACTTAGTCAAATTTCTACGTATTTGATTGTCATTTTATTCATGGCAGTATTAATGATGACCAATACTGAATCAACAGCGTTTTTTAATATAGTGAAGAGAGCTAGCTACCTGTGTATCTTGTAGTCAGTGGGCACAAACTTTTTCATGATCTTCAACAGATCATCATCTGCCTCTCTGCAATGTATTACCAAAGGTTTCCGTAAGGACACCGCCAGTTGTAGCTGCCTTTGAAATACCTGAATAAAAAATAAAGTCAGAATTAAGACAGCCTTAAGTTCTACTGGAATTATTATAATAGAAAAGAAAATACGGAGGCCAGGGAGACAGAGGGGAGCACTTTCTTGAGCTCTGTTGATTTCTAGTAAATCTACGTTTTAAGTCAGGACCTTATCAGAGATGGCACAGAGGTATGATGGCAATGGGTAGATGACATTTCAATCATTCTGTTCTTTTAATAGAAATTTAAATTCCCTGAACCCAACCAAGTTACATCTACACTTTCAGATACACTTCCCCACAACTGCCATCCTCATTTAACAGATGGCACAACTAAGGTGCAGAAGTGTTACCTGACCTGCCCAAGCTTCTTAAGGAAAGCACAAGCAGCTGGGATGCAAACTGATTGTTCTTGATTTTCACTGTTGTCCATTTAATCATGTTGCTCCCCTGCTGTGTTATAGGGCACTTTATCCAGATATCCAGGTATTGGCATCTTACTCATGGCCCAATTCACACAATGCTATCATGGTTTTCTCCTACCCTAAAGGCAATGTAAGGCTATAAAGCTATCCCACCATATGTATGGGGAAGAAAGGGCTAGAAATTCACAGGCAGAACTTAGAAATAAGCACAAATAATTTAATAAACTAGAAGTTCAGCTCCTTACTTTGTGCTGCGTGGATACATCTGTAGAACACTTATGAGAATAATCCAGTCCCATTTCTCCAAAGGCAATAGCTTTAGGGTGCCGCATGGCCTGTAGGAGGCTTCTTTCGTGAAATTCAGTGTAGTAACGTGCAAAGTGTGGATGACAGCCAAATGCTCCCCAAACCATGTCTTCTTTTAACAAGTCCTCCCACAAAGAGTCCCTCAGAGTGCGAGGGTCACAGAAGTCAGTTATACAGCCTTGAAATTCTTTGGGAAAGGAGCTGTGGTAAATCCCTCTAAACTTTGCAAAGGTACCCTTAAAAGACAGCTTGGAATACAGCATATCCAGATGGCAATGGGTATCAACAAAGCCCTCCTCCAAATATTTAGGCAGCTTATCAGGCACTTCCCTGTTCACGTATTCATTACTAAAAGAATCCGACAGTCGGACTCTACGGACAATGGGAGCACGGGATCCCACTTCCTCCCTAGATCGTCTACTTCTTTCCCTGCAGACCACAGAAGAATCATAGGAACGTGATCTCCAATGTCCACTTTCAACTGGTGACTCTGCGTCTTCAGATGCATTGAAAGAAGCATTTGTTGCAAGTTCTACAGAAATGTCACAGAGAGAATTGGTACCTGAGCCAGTTAGACAGGAAGTATCCTGGCTGGGGCTCGAAAACGCACAACACTCAGGTGGTTTGGGACTACTTGTCCAGCGCCCGACAGAGTCACCCCACATGCAACTATTCACATTAGTAGGATATGTTAAGTCATCACTTAAAGTTCGTGAAGTCTCCAAAATTTTTGGACTATTAAGCTGTGGAAGTGAATCCTCCTGGGAGAATCTGGCCAAAGATTCTACATCTTCCACATCAGACCAATCGCTTCCTACAGATGGGTCCTTCTCTGGCATTTTTTGCTGTTCAAACTGTAAACCAAAAGGCAAAAATCACAATAGATCAACAAAATAAACTTAATTTTGTGGACAGTGAATTGCAAGAATATCAATTAGGGCCCCACTATGTGTTCAAATTAAAGCTGGATAGAAATCAGCTATAGAATTGTTACATTTTTTTGTGATAATTACTTTGCATGTGTGGCTGGTCTAAATGTATTGCATGATTAACCAATTAGTTGTATGATAATTACTTTGCACATATGGCCAGCCTTACTTGGGACATGTGGCGAGTCAAATTTATTGCGTGATTAACCAGTTAATTGCATAATATACGTAACACACAGCAGGGGCCTTAGACACTTAGCTTTATAGACCAGCTGTAACTTACCAAGAACACAGCAATTCCAATAAGCACATCAGTTTCAGGGTAGACTAACGTATCTAGGGTAGAGGCCTAGAAGAATGGGTAAAAAGGGGCAGCAGAAACTTCTTTCCTTTCTTGTGTCCTTGTAACATTGTATTTAACGTAATTCAGATTCACTGGAACCTGATACGGCCATGCTGCGAGCGCTTCCACTAGGTCCTCAAACTTGTTACCTCTGGGCTGTCAACTGTGCACTGAAATATACTGACAATCTTTAAATACTGTACCTTATCACTGCCTAATGCAGAGAGGTATACTTTGCCTTGAGTTCAGCTACTCTGGTGCCTGGAATTTTTCCAGCAGAAAATAACTCATCCAGGAACTGAGAAACTAAGAAAAGATGCCTTTTGCGCAACCATAACTCTTTGTTGTCTATATCTTCATAATCAGCATTTCAGACTTCTACATTGCTTAGACTACATTAATGTAGAAGACAACTAACTACAGGATTACACATAATATGAGAGGGTATCAACCAAGGCGTGCTGGACTCTGTGTATTACATGGCAGCATAGCTAAACTTCAGTGCATGCTAACAAGGGTTACCTTCCAAACCTGTACTGAGTCAAATAAAAGTGCCTCTGCATTCATATTATGTATTGAGGAAATGGAGGATAGCCCTTGATTTCTATCCTAGTGGCACTATTATCTAGTGAGCAAATCGAGACATATTTTCAGCAGTGGTCACTTATTAGATTGCACCCTGTTGAAAGAGTTATTTTGTCAGAACTTTTATTTTGCTCATTTAAAATTTTAGCTAGCAATATCTCCAATCCCATGCCAACGTGTCTTACTCAAGAAACATTATTTCACAGCTCAACATGTGGACTCTCACCTCAAGGCCATCTTCTGAACTCGAAGAGGGCTCATCAACAAATACAAGCTTCGAAGGGGGTTCTGCTATAACTGTCCTCTTGAAAGTCACAGGCTCTTTCCTGGGGTCACTCAAAATGGCAACTGACCTAGCACAACTACTTTCATCTGTGGCAGTTTTCTGTCCATCTAAATCTAGTGGGAGATGCTGATCTTCTTCAACCCTTGGAGCTGTACAGAAGCTTCTTGAATTGCCACCCAACTGGCAAGGCTTTTTTCCATGGTCAGGGCTTTCAGTCTTAACTTCATCTGATGGAGGTGCTGCCCTTCTGGGCTGTTGGTTTATCAATTGCCCAAACACACCCTGGAGAGCCTTAAGATATATTACTGTTGATCCTTGGTCTCTCATTCTCTTTTTCCTGTGACTTACAGTCTCTTCTTCTGAAGCACCCTTACTTTCAGTCCTTGGTGCCAAGTTACAGTCTGCATCATCCTTGGATTTATTCTCAATCTGTGTAATAAATGAATAAACTATATTACTCAGTTGTTCATTAAATACCAAGTCATTTTATCAATCACAAAGCATTTATGATTGAGGAGTACTGGACTAAGAATTCCTCTCAGGATATGACAGAGGTGACTAATGTGAATTCAGGGAAGCTAATGGATCCAGCATGTGATGGAATGTCCCGAGACCTATAGTTTGGAGACTACACCTACAAAAATCACAATCTGCTGCTTTTTCTGAAAAAACATATCCAGCCTTTTGGCTTCTGGATAACTGCAAAACCAGCCTAGTGGGCAAAAGCAGAAGTACCTCTCTGGAAGAGGATTACTTCTCGCCATTGCCCCTCTATACACCACGTACTGTTTTTACCTGAAACACTTTTGAATAACTTTTTATTAAGTCCCTAGGAGCCAGTTCTCCTCATTACATTTTCATTTCGCTCCTTTCTGCAAACTCAGGGGACTACTACATGCTAAACATTCCTCCAGGGGGCTGTTACTCCCATCTCCTTCAACATGTCTTGCTTTTGGGGTAACACCACTGGGGTTTCTAAATTAGCTTGTCCTAGTGAAGCCACAATGATACTATTTGGAACGCTGCATCTGATGAAGTGAACTTGGGTCCACAGAAGTTTGTGCTCTACACATCCCCCCTACATATATATATGCATGTACACACATATAGTATATATATGCGCATGTACACACCCCCACACCATGCATATGCACATGCCTATCCACATGCACACACGCCACATATGCGCGTGCCTATGCAGGTATGTATTTTCAAGCGTACACACACACTGTATCACAATGGTGGACAACATAGAGCCTGCAGGTCGGATTCAGCCCACCAAATGGTTGTACTGAGCCCATTGGCAGCTGGTGAACTTAGCCAAATAATTACCCATATACTATATATACGTGTGTGAGCATGTGTGCATGTATGCACACACATATCATGTGCGTAGCACCACACACACACATTCCCCACAGAGAAACATGTTTGAGCTGCAGTAGAGTTTGCCCATCCGGGATAGACCTCATCAGCCCTCTTCAGACACCCGGATGTGATGATCACCAAAGACAACCATCCTCAACTGCCCGGGACTGCTGAAGTCACCCCCCCATATACATGCACACACACCTGCGCGCTACATATACATATGTGCAGTATGTATATGTGGGTATGTGTGTGCGTGTGTGTATACATACTTACATACACACACACACCTATGCACGCGGGTGCATGTATACGTATATATGCAGCAGCATCCATATGTGTGCGCGCGCACACTCACACGCACAGCTCCTGTGTACGTACACGTACACGCACACGCACACGCACACACACACGGCCACGCCCGCAGCGACCTATCCGGGCGGCTCTCGGCTCCCGCCGCACGACCGCCCTGTGGGGGCAGC